TGTGTGTGTGTGTGTGTGTGAGTGTGTGTGTGTATGCGCGCGAGCGTGTCTGTGTTTAATTTGTTTCTAAAGAGGAGGAGAAACAAGTATTGTTAAACAGAGATATTATTGAGTTATCATTAAATTGATTTCATACTATTAGGTTTCACTTGTATTGCCTTTATTACTACAGCGTAGACTGTCATTATTTCCAAATGATTTATGCTTCTTAGTTTCCACATTAAATAGAGGATTAAGTACGTAAACTTTGTATGGCATTCTATGGGTTTATCTCACCTATGGGCACTATAGGCTCGTGTGGGATTAAGATGTGGTTGAGTAACATGTCGTGCTGTACGTCAATTAGTCTTTAGTCCTTCCATATTATTTGGTGGGTTTTCATCCTGCACTCGAAATCCTTCTCTTTATTTTTATTTCACAGGATAAATAGCTACACATGCAAACACTACATTGTTTCCCTTACTACCAGTGCTAAAATGTAATTAATTGAATTACTAGTATTAGTATACCTTTTGCCAGTATAAAAGAATCCGAGCTTACACATTGTATGACGTGCGCATTATCAGCAACACAGGTAATCCCGACAGAAACGATTTACAAACCACTCCAACTATTAGACTAATTTGTTTTTTAGTAGTGTTGGCTCCGTGAACATCTCCGTTGGTCTTTAAACCTTTGAGCCCTGGTTTCCTCTGCCTCTGTTCCTGTGTGATTCATATCTTCATTTATATCATCATCAGAATCACATTCCATATCCAGCTAAGGATAGTCTTCGTCATTACCAGCATCTAATATTTACATCAATACCAATTATTATATTCCTCAAAATGTTTACTGCTTCTCCGTTTTTTTTGGCTTTTCGTTTACTTCTGGGTAAAGTTCGTTGTTAGCTTCATCACTGAGCTCGTAGAAGTAGTAGACTGCTGTGATTGCTATCTTTTCTATTTATTTATCTATTTATTTATTTATTTATTTATTTATTTAATTTCTATTCATGTTGGCATTGATTGATTGATTGATTGATTGATTGATTGATTAATTGATAGATTGATTGATTGATTGATTGATTGATTGATTGATTGATCATCATAATATCACCATCTTGACTTGTTGGCATACTATCAATTCCGAATCTCTATTATGATTTTTTTTCACTAATTTCCTACACTGTATTGACCTCAGCCAAATGAAATAGAACAAAAAGGAAAAAAGAAAAGTCTGTTCATGAATGTGTCCTTAAAGTGCTGTTCTCAGTTTACAATCAGATGTCAAGATGAAGCCTACTCTAATTTTATCCAATTTCATCTAAATTTAGGAATAGCAATTTGCGTCTAATCTCCACGGCCTCGGAAAAAAGTATGGAAGAACAGATCTGATGAATTAAGAGGGTTATATTTTCCAGATGACAAGGTATCTGACGTCAGAGTTCTAACTGACCGCGCCCTTTTGTTTTAGATGCTATTATTATT